AATAATTCAAAAGAACCCATAAGCTTTCAACCAATAGTATAATTCATTAATAAAGGTCTGACAATAAAAAAATGATAGATTTTGTTTGAACTTCACAACATTTTCTGAACATCATTGGAAAGTAGTTTAATATGTGTTATTGTCTTTCAGAACGCCCATGTTCAGTTTCCAAGGTAACAGCTTTTATCCATGCTTATGTTGCTGAAGCAAGATTGATAGAGGATGTGGGTTCAGAGCTGTCATACCTTCTTCCACCAGGTGCTCAGAATACCAGCACTTTGGGCCACTTGTTTGAAGCACTAGATGTTAATTTAGATGCCCTCTGTATCAGTAGCTATGGGATCTCAGACACTTCCTTAGAAGAGGTGAGACAGTAATTATTGATGTCTATAAAAACAGACTAATTGGTAAAATTAATGCCTTTATTTTTATTTTTGTTTAATCAAAGTTTTGATAGTTATTTAGAAATGGTCCTAATAAGTAATCTTTACTTTTTACACCTAAAATGCATTTTTTTCTGATAAAACCTCTAATGCAGTCAGTCTACATGATTTTAAATGACAACCTTTAGATTAAAACCTTTCAGCATTCTAAAACTTCATATATTGTTTGATGTAAGGTAACTTAGCTCTTTTCTACTACAATTCAAACTTTTATTTTTTATTTAACTTCAATAAAAATTTTATCAACATACAACATTCACATGATATGAAGATAATTTAAGTTGTAAGAAACCCATTTCTGATTATTACCTTTTGTGTCAAGAGTATCAGAAGGATTAATAGTTCTTCAAGTAGTCTTCATAAACTTGGTATTGTTATCATAATAACCTGTTATACAGGGTTGAGTGTATTATATTAAAACAATTTTGAATATACAGATCAAGAATTCATGGGGCTATCACAGCTGATATATAAAGATATTTATCAGAACTACATTTTGGCAGTGTTGGCACTGAAAACTGATCACTTTGGGAAGGGCATGTAACAACCCTTTCCAATGTAAAATGTTCATACACTCAGATCATAAAGATGTATTCAGATCAGTAATTCAGAAATTCAAAGACAGGAGTATCCCTTTTACTTTGGAAAAAAAAGAAATATAGATCACCTTGGAGACCCAGGACCATCCAAAATGAGACCTGCAACAAGTCAAACTCTAACCATGATAAGCAGAGTGTGGCATAATCAAGAAGGAGCTCTGTCTGGAAAAGCAACATAAGTCACGTGTACAGAAGTTGCTGCTGTGATATATCAGTTCAAATGTTGCATACCTTAAGCAGCTGGAGATTGGTATGGGTATTCATGCTATTCCACACAAAGACATACTAGACAAGTTGCCGGGTGCTGAGAAAGTGTCATCTTTGTACACTAGATGGCTTTAGGAAAGTGCAGAGAGGAGAGGTATGCTATGAACATAACAGCCTTACAATAGAAACTACTCTACAGGGGCTATTGTCAAAATGCATGATTTGAAATGGTGACAAAGACTATAACAACATTATAGGACTCCAAAACCATTTTAATATAATATGCTCAACCTCTGTAATAGAGGAAAATGTCTAATATTGATATTATCATTATAGATGTTGTTGAATGGGTTAGTTTCAGTCACAACTTGTTATAGAATTGTGAAAGTGATGATGAAAACTGTAGTCTGTTATTTTGGTAGGTGTTTTTGAAAGTTACCAGGGTAGAGGGTGAACAACTGAATGAGGATGCTTTGACCAATGCTGTAGAAAGTTTAACTGAAGGTAAGGTGTTGTCTTTCTTGATTAGCAGATACTGAGCTGTAGTTACAAAATAAGTTTGTTTTTAACCAGTTAGTGTTAGCTGTAATACGAACAGAATATGTTTGTAGTTTGTTCATGAGTGTGCTTGAGATATTCTTTAGAAAATGATTTCAAAAATTTATTAACTTCGTAATGGTAATAGTCTTGCATATAATAGATCAGTGATAGAAGTAATATAATATGTGATATACTTAATGCAAATAAAGTAGGATTTGTTTGAACTGATATGTTTCAATAGGTGGAAAGTATGCCACTCGAGTAAGAACCGAGAGCCTGCATGGCTCGAGTTTATGGAATGCGGTAAAGGCTCTCCGATTCAAACATGTACAGGGACTGATTAAACCACAACATTCTGATCCTAATATGCTGGTCAATGGGTCAGATGAATCAGGTTAGACAGAATTTTTTTTTTAACTTTCATGTTTATATGTAAAAAAATTTCTTTGTTCGTGCTGTTGAGTTATTGTATTATATTACTTTATATCCATATCTAGCTTTATACCCATGTTTGGACTTCACATCACATGTAACTTTATACCCATGTTTGGACTTTACATTTACATGTAACTTGATATCCATGTGTAGACTTTACATCACATGTAACTTGATATCCATGTGTAGACTTTACATCACATGTAACTTTATACCCATGTTTGGACTTTACATCACATGTAACTTTATACCCATGTTTGGACTTTACATCACATGTAACTTTATACCCATGTTTGGACTTTACATTTACATGTAACTTGATATCCATGTGTAGACTTTATGCCACTTTTAAGTTTATATCTATGTGTAGACTTTACATCCACATGTAGCTTTATATCTATGTGTAGAATCTATATATGTAGATATTACATAATTACCTATGTGTAGACTATATATATAAATATTACATTTCTATTTATGTGTAAACTTTATGTATAGATATTATATTTATACTTATGTGTAGACTTTGTATATGAATGTAATATTTATACCTATTTGTAGACTTTATGTATAGATATTATATTTATACCTATGTGTAGACTTTATATATAAATATTGTGTTTATACTTATGTGTAGGCTCTATATCTAGATGGTGGGTAGGGTGCTTGACTCATAATCTGCGGGTTCGAATCCCCATCCCACCAAACATGCTTGCCCTTTCAGCCACGGGGGCATTATAATGTAAAGGTCAATCCCACTATTTATTGTTGATAGAGTAGCCCAAGAGTTGGCAGTGGGTAGTGATGACTAGCTGCCTTCCCTCTAGTCTTTCACTGTTAATTAGCTAGTGCAGATAACACTCGTGTAGATTTGTGCAAACTTTGAAACAAACCAAACCTATATATAGATATTATATTTACACTTATGTGTAGACTTTATAGATAAATATTATGCTTATACCTATGTTTAGACTTTGATATTGCAGATGGGATTGATACTTGACTTAGAAAGAAAAACATTCTTTACTATTCAGTGTTTCACAATATTGTTGAAATTAACATTGTTTCAAGAATCTGTGTTACTTTCTGAAGTAAATACTCCATGTTGTTGTTTTCACCTATAATACACTAAAAGGTAATGTTTAAAAAAAGTTAATTTTTAACCAAATTAATGGTTATGCGATTGTTGAAAACTTACTGCTAATATTACTTGCAGTACTTTTTTTTCATTTGGAATAAGATTTTAATCTCTCTATAAATCATGCTTTATCATTAAACACCTGTTTCAGTGTATCTGTCCAGTCTTTGTTATTTAAAGTTTGTTTCTTGTTTTAAATGTTTCTTTGTTCAAACATCAACTGTGATCACATTATTTTCAAGTAATCAGTTTTGATGTCTTACGTTGTGATTGTGATCTTCATTACTTTTCCAATACAGCTGCTTCTCAGAGACTCACAGAAGGAGGGAGTGAGTGATTTGTTTTATTATTGATCTGCATGCTAACTAGTGTTTCACAACATAGCTGGGGTTATTCTTTAATGCATGATTAATAATGGTTTGTTACTAGTCGCAAGTTTTATTGCCACTAATATTTGTAGATTTAGGATTATCTTTCTTTTTTAATTTCTTGTTTTCTTAAACTTTTTCAACACTTCCATTCTTTTTTAATGTTTGAATCATTTTAATAAATCAAAAATTTAAGTTTTATGCAAAACCTAATAGTGACCTAAAATATTATTCTTAAAGTCTAGTGATACAATATTAAGCTTTTGTTCACAAATCTAATAATTTTTCTATGTTTTTTCAAACACTATGTAAACCTAGAACCATAAATGTAAAATTTAATGCAAGATAAAAAATTGTCAATGAAGCAATTCTATGGATATTTAATAATATAAAAATGAAATAAACCCAAAATTTGTTTTCAATTTAAGAAATGTTAAAAGTTCAAGTACCTGCTTATTAGCATTGTGCATCTTGGTTTGTAATGACTTTATGATAACTTTTTCTGATGGATTAAGATGGTGAGAATGGTCCAGAACTTCCTTCTCCACCAATAGATGATAGGAAAAGGTTGACAGGGATGGCATTGATGTTTCATCAGATTAAGGCCATCCACAAACGTCGTTTTCACCATACTAGAAGGAATCGTAAAGGTATATTTTGTGAGGTAAGTCTTTCTTTTAGTTTAAAACATTTTAGAAATATGAAAACCTTGAACATTTATCATAACATACATCTATAAGAATCTTTCTACCTATACTATTACAAAAAATTCTTAAACTCAAAGAAATTCTGCTATGTCAATGGATTAATATACGGGAAAATAATAATGTTTTCAGCATCCAAAACTGTGGAATACGTTGTATTTTCTGAATATCTGTATTCATCACAAAACTTGTGTATTTTAAAATAAGGTAATGAACTAGAAAGAATGTAAATTAAATTCTTGATAATTCAAACAACCATTAATGCAGTAAAATATTTAAAATAGCCAGATAAAGGCACGCAAATCAAACTAAACAGTAAAACATGATAGCTTTCCTTCTACTCAACAATAATAAGTTTCTCAACTTAAGTTGCATTTTTGATATTCCAAATATTCACTTTGATTAACAGATAAAGTTCCCGTATTTAAATCAACTCAAACCAACAAAATTTTCAAATCAACATCACAGTGGGTTCAAGGTTTTGTCCAAGTTTTATCCTAGAAAATTTAATGTTTACACCAAACCGTTAGCCAATTAGTGAAACCAGTACTAATGCATTTGTGTGGAGAAAGAAATATAGAATTATTGATAATAGTGAGGACCAACTTCAGTGATCTCTTTCCAACACACTGAACAATATCCTTCTTTCTTCATGAACATTTTGTGCCCGGCATGGCCAAGTGG